CGGCCCCCCCCCTTGTCGCCCGGTCCCCTCTCTGGTCGCCCGGTCCCCCCCCTTCTAACCCGGTCCCTCTCTTGTCGCCCGGTCCCCTCTCTTGTCGCCCGGTCCCCTCTCTTCTAACCCGGTCCCCTCTCTTCTAACCCATTTCACTGTTGTAGCTTCCCAAATCTTTCCGGGAAAGGGCAAACCGAGCAGGGCAGAAGAGGAAAAGGTGAAGCCGACGCTGTGGGCTGTGCTGAGATGCTCTGAGTCTTCCTTAAAACCACGGTGGCACCTCTAAGATAAAGACGTCCCGTGGTATCACGGGACAAACCAGATGTGCTTGGGGACGCTCGCTCTTCCAGCCATGGCTTGTTATGTATTTTTGCTTTTAATGTTGGTTGCGTGCGATTTAAGGCGGCAGAGAGCAGATTTGGGTGCTCTGGCCAGAGAGCTTTAGTTAAATCCTGGTGGGATGCGGTTTTGCACGGATGATTAAATATTAACACAGCGAATCTCCAAGGTGATGAGGCTGGCGGTGCTGCTCTGGGATTGCTTAAAGCATGGAGCTTGTAAAGGTTTCGATTTCCATAATTACGGATACTTGCTTAAAAAAAAAAAAGGTTTAATTGCTATTGAAGAGGTGTTACATGGGATTTTTCCTCCGTCCCTGTGTCCTGATGGGTCCTGGCAGGTTCAAAAGCCTCGTGACAAGGTGGTGGGGTCAAACTTTATTGGTTTAAGGCACAGGAGCTTCCTTCCAACTGGAGAGGCTCCCAAATCCGGGCTGGGGGTGAGGGGAGGAGGGAAGGGGTGCAAGGGGTGAAGTGGGGCAGCCCAAGGGAGGAAGAGAAGGAGAAGAACTGGCTGTGAGAAGCTTCAAACGCAGAAATTAGACCTTTTTAGGACCAACTTTCCCGTGTTTAAAGGGGGCTGAGGGGTTGGAGCCACTCGTTCTGCGCTCGCTTTGTTCAGCAAAAAGCGTTTGTCGCAGATTTTCTTGTTTAAAATGTATCGAAACGAGAGCTTTGATCACTCGATCCGGGGATCAAAAGGCTGCTGGGGTTTGCTGTTAAAACACCTCTGTTCCCGCTGCTGAATTGAGGTTTTTGTGGAGCTGTGGCGCTCACTGAGATTGCAGCGGGAGCCTTTGCGCCGCCTGTAGCTGGGGAGCAGAAGGGGCTGGGTGAGTGATGCTTCATCTGCTAAAACAGTCACTGGTGTCAGGGGGGGAAAAAACCCTGCCCTTACTCCAGGGTAGGATGGAGGGGTTGCTTTTTGGGGTGGAGAAGTGGTTTTGTAAGACTGTAGTAAAATAAAATCTGTTTCTGTGTCCAAAGTAGAAAGAAAAGCAAATGAAGGAGCTGCAGGGTTTTGGGGCTGGAAGCTGAATGTGGTGTGTGCTTTGTGTGTGGCAGGGGCAGGGTCCCACCTCCTGACACCTGTCCTTCCCAGATTGATACCCATG